TTGGAGCGGCAAAAACCATAGAGCCGCCCCTGTCCCAGACAGTGCCAATGCCCCACATGCCCTCAGCCCAAGTCCCCAAACCTGCTTCCACGGGACAAGTCCTACAATGCAGGAACAGGCTGCAGGTGCCGCATGCTGAAAGCCGATCAAATCATTTTATTTGATGCTGTTTCTACATTAACCTCTAAATGAGCAGCACAGGGGCTAGTGTGCTAACTGTATCATTCAGCTAGTATTTCATCGAGAAACACTTCCGCTTTTCAATTTAAATGAAGCTGCAACAGAGTGCCAGAGATTTCGGAGACTTTGCCATAGAATCCAGGTCCAGCGTCTTCTGGAGTATGCGGGGTTTTGCCAAAGGGTTTCATAGTAGATGACAAATGTTTAAAGAATACAAGTTCTGGCATCTAACACTGCAAGATGACAGGTGTATCCCAGCTCCAGAAATGACTGTGGGTCCATCCTCGCTGCAGAGTTAAACCAGGCGATTAGGTGGGGTTGGCCTTATTCTGGCTCTCATTCACACCCACGCCTCGGCTTTACCCGAGCTAACTGGCCCGTCCTGGGGTCTAGGCTAACGCATGAACCTGGCTTACCTTTGGGCTGGCAACCTGCCCACTTTGCAGTGAGGATTCAGGTTAAACCACTCAAGTGCTGACAGTCCTCCGATGCCTTCTCACAATTCCCCCGTGTGCCCAGAAGGACAGACAAGTTCTCCCACAATTCACTGGGAAAGAATCACAGAGCATCACATCATGCTGCAGCACTACGAGCCCCCAGAAGTTCCAGTGCTAACATGGATGAGCACAGCAACTGTGTGGACGCAGTCGAGTCCGGATTTGCAGTGTGGCAGCTCACACCCTGACTAGGCCAACCCCCGTACTCAGCCCCGAGTGCTGGACACCCAAGTTAATTCTGCAGTGAAAGACATTCCCCTGTGTTGACTGTGGGAAAGTCTTGGATTATAAAAGCACCGAGTACTGACTAAAAATCCATGGCAATTCATATTTAGGATTATAGAAAGATCATGTGATCTAGAAGGGTAAGGAAGGAACGAAGAGGCATCAGTTAATTTCCACTTTGATGGAAATGAAGACCTCATGACCTTTGACAAACCTCACAATGATTCACTGTGGAGCAAATCATTTTGGCATTGTAGAAGGGATGCAGTTAGTTCTCTTTATCATGAAGGATAATATCTACTGTTAAGTACCAATGTCTCCGATAAAAGAAAGAGGTGAAACTGAGAACATGCAAAAGACATATATGCCAGAAAGAAATATCACTGGATTGTTAAGAAAAAGAGAGGCTAAAAATAGATAATGCTTCCCACAAACCCTTAAATACAACTTTTAATAACATTCAAAATACATACATACATTTAGAAAAAAGAAAATCTAGGAAATTCAGCAACAGTTAACTTACACTGAAGGCTATAAATGGAATTGAAGGGAAGATGTACCACTGAACAAATCCCTCAAACAACCCAACACTAACAAGTGTATGGAATCACAAATTATGATTCCAAAAGCAAATCGGACACCTTAACCCTGAACAACCCCATGCAGCCTTAACTCCACCTTAAACATAATATATCAGTAGACACGTAGGAAGATTTCAATTCTATAATTTCCACATAAACTGTAACCCTGGCTTTCGAACTATCACAATCAGCACAGATCACCCATTCACATAGCTTTTCCTAAACATTACAGAAAACAGCAGACTCTAGAGAACCGGTGTAACCGATTCCCTACATAAAGTGTATTTTGCACTAACTTCAGCTTCTGGATCGTCATAAGATATAATCTCATGTAGAGTGTATTACAGCAGTCAAACTCAAGGAGACAAAGGCATGACCAACTGTAGCAAGATACACATCCAAAAGAAATAGCTAAGTATTATTATCCCCATTTTACAGATTAGGAAGCTGAGGTATGGGGAAGTTAAAAGGGAACTGGCTCTAGGCCATGTCGGCAGAGTTTGGAGTAGAACATAAAGTTACTGTTTCCTAGGACAGTACAGTAATCACCAGAACATACTTTCAACAATGAATGATGCAGAGAAGGCCAGTCAAGTGGCCCCATTTTCCACCCCATGACACTAGAAAATAATAATTTGATAGTATTAAAAGGCAACAGTTTTAAAATGGACAAAAGGAAGCCACATGTTACAAAACGTGTACGTATCCCGTGGAACTCACTGCCAGAAGACATTAATGCAAGTAATTCAATAAGGTTAAAAACAGACATTTATGTGAATATAAATAACATCTGCAATTTCTCTAGCTAGGATACAATTGCAAAGACTCTCAACCTTCATGATGCAGGACATAAGCTAACCATCAGCTAGGGTCAGGAAGAAATCCCCTTCAGGTGTCAGAAATGGGGAGTTATGGCTTACTCTGAGGCACTAAGGACAGCTACTGTAAGTGTCTCCTTGCTGTCTTCCAATCTGGCAATTCCAGCTCAGGATTGAGACGAAGATCTGCTCACTGTGGCTGCTGGTAGGGTAACCAGCAGATTTCAGTGCGCACTAGGGTGCCTAGATGTCCCTGTTTTATAGGGACAGTCCCGATTTTTGGGACTTTTTCTTATATAGGCTCCTATTACCCCCCACCCCCTGTCCCGATTTTTCACACTTGCTGTCTGGTCACCCTAGTGCCCCCAGCTGTTGAGTCCAACACCATTCACCAGCACTAAAAATGAGCTTAAATAAACCTATGAGAGCAACACCACATAGCTACAAGAATGACAAAAAGATCCGAATACTGTTCTGCAGATGCATACCTGTTTGTGCCTTTCGCTCCAAGGGAAAGCTATGCTCACTCCCCGGCCCTTTTCTCCCAGCTTTACTTTCAAGATGAAAACACAGCTGCTTGTCATATTCAATGCTTGATCTTCTTCCGCCTATTTTGAACAAAACCAAACCTCTCTACACCCCTATCTTTAGCTTCTTTCATCAAGTTTCTAAACTTGGTCTTTAAAGAAAAGCTTTCCTGGGTGACAATTAGGTAAAATATGATGTTGGCTGTTTGAAATAAAGTGTGCACAGTCCTCCTCATGTCCAGATGTTGATGCAACACACACAGCCTTTGACAGCACATAACAAACAAGCTCTCATACAAGTACTCTCTGATTGCTGGTCTCCACTTCACTGGAGTTCCTCAGAGAATCACTGGGCATCATAATAAAGCCAAGCAAATAAGTGTTATTGCACACACTTTGCTTCCAAAATTTCTGCGGAAACCTGCCTGAAGATGATCACATCTAAGTTAGTGTTGACATGAAAACCTCACACTTTATTTTTATTAAAAAAAAAACAACCCCAGCTAATTCAAACAGTTGTTAACTTTTTGCCTCTGAAACTGAAAATGTTCCTCATTCTTTCCAGCTGTTTAGCCAACTACCCTAATGAGTGAAATAAAAAGCCAGGACCTCAATGTTTTAATCATGATTATTTCCTATTTGGAAAGCAACAAGCACAGTGCGGGTGCTGCCAGAAACTAAAAAATAACATCATCAATCATTTTCAAGTTAAATTAATGATTTGTATTTTCAAGTTTTGCGATAAATATTTTAGAACAGTGAACATCACAATTAGTTTGATATGTTGAAACGGCAAAGAAACCGACTGATGAATTCATCCTGTTTTCATCTATTGGAACAGGTTAAAAGGCGTCTACGTTAAAAGTTTTAAATGCGTTAGATCAAACGGGAATACCAAGGGTAATTCATACACAGAGCTCAGTCTCATCAATTCAAGAACTTCTAGCCGATGGAACTTGTTGCATAAAAGGAATAAATCTCCGTTTGGGAAGGAAATTCAGGATGCTGTGGCTTGTATGAAGAAAGAATCCTGGTTTATTTATTGTCACTTTAAACCTGCAGCTATCACCTGGGCTTGCAGGCTTGTTTATTTCTGTAATTATTCACTACTGAACAGTCTAGATTTGTATAGTGCAAGTGCAGCCACCCGGCGCAATCTGTTCAAATCTTCTGTGTACCGGGTGCTGCATAAAATGCATTTTTTAGCTATTTCTGGCATCTCCATCAGAACCCTGGATTTTAAATAGTATAATAGCCAGTAACATTAATTATACATTTATTTGACCTGCATTTAAATCTGTTCTTGCACAATTTGCCTCCAGGCCAGGCACTAGCTGCTCTGTCCCCTCTATATTGTTTGGATGTGGTTAAGCAATCCCAAGGTGCCTGCAGCTGAAAGGGGAGGGGAGGGCATGGCTGGGATTCACACAGATCCTGGAGACAGTACCTTGCTCAGGTAAGCTGCCAGGTAGGAGATGGGCAGACTTGAGCCCGCTGTTGGCAATAAATAAGTAAGCAATAGACTCAATGTGAGAACTTCTGCACAGAGGGGGGGAAGTTAGATTTTAAATACACAGAAACCTGCAGGGTGAGCCACACACACACACACACCGGACACAAACCCACAAAAGCAAGGCAATGGCAAGTCAAGCCACTCACACTCACACTCTCTTCTCCTCAGCCCTGGGCACAGTCGTTACGAATACCCCCGCCCCAGGATCTGTCCCTGAGGGCTGGGCTGGGGCTGCCTCCCACAGCTACAGCCCCTGGTACCCAGCACAGCAGCCAAGCGCTGCCTCGGGCCCCAAGGCACAGCCCGACCCCCCAGGGGCATGAGGCCAGAGCCTCCAGGGGGTGGCATGGGGCGAAGGGGATTTGCCACCTGCTCCCAGGGCGGAGCCGATGGTGCCTTATGGGAGCGGGAAGGAGCCGGAGAGGGTCCCAGGGGGAGGGCTACAGGCAGCGCAGTGGAGCCAACCTGCCCGGGGGCTCTCTCCAAAGAGGCCAGGGAGAGCCCGGGCCCAGCCCTTCCAGGCAGGAGCGCTCCCCGCCGGCCACAGGCCCGGCTCCTTCCCGCTGGGGGGGCGCAGACTGCCCGCTGTTGGCCCCGCGCCCCGGGCAGGTGTCTCTGCCCCGTCCGCCCCGCCCGGCCCGGCCCGGCCCGGCGCTCACCTGTACCACTCCAGCCCCTTCTCGTAGTTCCTGTCGAAGAAGTGGGGCTCGACCCCCACGGCGCGCACGTCGGGGTGCGCCCGGATGGCCTCCAGGAGCGCCCGGGTGCCCCCCTTCTTCACGCCGATGATCAGGGCTTGCGGCAGCCGCTTCTCGCCGTAGTCCGGCGTGGTGCTGCCCGCCCGGCTCAGCTCCTCGTCCGTGGTGCTGGATTCCTGCGGGTCCCTCTCGAAGGCGCCGCTCTGCGCCGCGATCACCTCGCCGGGGGCCAGCGCGGTCCGCAGCCAGGCGGCCGCCGACACCCCCGGGCGGCTGGCGTTGCTGGCCCGAGTGGGGGGCGCGGGGGTGGCCGGGGAGCCGCGCAGGCCGGCGGGGGAGCGCGGGGCGCTGGGAGCCGGGGAGCCGCGCAGGCCGGCGGGGG